ATTTGAAATATTACTTCTCTTCTTTATTCATAAAACATTTTTTCTTCGAACTCTTCACACGCATCTTTGATTTTAGTATTTTTATCATTGGTGGAGTCACATCTTGGATCAGACAATATATTTTTCCAGACGATACTTTCAGTTTTTTGAGATACATCTTTTTTGAAAATGGGTAAGATATTGAGTGTTTTATTAGGTTACAAGTACCCACATGTATAACATTAGGTTTTTTCAAGCAGTGTATCCAATGGGATACATTTATGACCGCCACAATTTAATCACTTTGTTACTTTTTAAAGTGATCTTAAGGGTGTATAATGCAATTTATACATAGAATTCCAGAGTAATTACTAAATCTATGTTTAATTTCTCCTCTTTCCTTGATTCCAACAGCTTACCTCTATAAACAGCAAATACAAGGCCTTAATTGAGGTTGTTTGAGGCTGCTGTGTCAGCCCCAACTGGCACTTTGTAGTCAAAATAAAGAATTTAAAGAACTCCCCATAAGAAGTACTTTGTAAGAAGTATGTATAATGTGACTTTTTTCCCCCTGAGGTTTTACAAGGAATTCTTACGTTATAGTTAATCTATTAATGGTTCTTTTTTGTATCTTCAGCATGAGCATGAATCTCAGGCAGCAAATCTGTTTTCCAGAGGGGTCTTCCTCTGGGAGAGAAGGGCTGCTATAGGAACAGGAAGCGATATGATAGTCCATGATATGAAAGTTGGTGCACCATGAAATTGGCTTTGGATAGAAGCTGTGAAAGAGAAAGTACCAATTGCATTCACTGATTTTATCACTCACTGGTGAATGGAAATTGTTTTCTGCTTCTACTTATTAGTTTTCCAGAGAAATTCCATGAGTATTTTTTAAAAAACAGAGCTGTTGAGCTTGTGGGCAGATGGTTAGATCTTCATTTATTTTCATGCCACCTAAATCTTGGGACCTTAGATGCAGTCACTTCATCCCTGGTCCTTATCCTAATACCCTGTTGAAAAACACAAACTAACACATATTTTAGTTTATATCGTATATATAGACATATGTACTAATACATATTTTAGTTTATATTATATTCTTTTTTTTAAAATAAATTTTATTTTTATATTCCCCATACAATTGCAATCCCCTTATTTTGACCCCAATCCCTCCCCTCCCCGCCCCCCACCCCCTTAGAGTGTCTCTGGTTCATAGTTTTTTGTTGATTTTGATTCTTATAGTTATTCATTTTTCTGGTCCCTTATTTAAGTTTTCTAGATTCCTGCTATGAGTGAGACCATCCGGTATTTTTCTTTTTCTTTCTGGCTTATTTCGCTGAGCATGATCCCTTCCAGCGCCATCCATGTTGCTGCAAATTGCATGTGTTTCTCTTTTTTGAATGCTGAGTAATATTCCATGGTGTATATGTACCACATCTTCTTGATCCAGTCATCTATTTTTGGGCATTTGGGTTGCTTCCAAAGCTTAGCTATTGTAAATAGTGCTGCTATAAACATAGGGGTGCAGGTGCTCTTTGGAATGGATGTTTCTGTGTCCTTTGGGTAAATACCTAGGAGTGGAATTGCTGGATCATATGTGTTTAGTAGGTCCAGAAATCTCCACACAGCTCTCCACAATGGTTGGACCAGTTTGCACTCCCACCAGCAGTGCAGGAGAGTTCCTTTTTCTCCACACCCTCGCCAACATTTGTTGTTGCTAGTTTTTTTAATATGTGCCATTCTCACTGGTGTAAGATGGTATCTCATGGTAGTTTTGATTTGCATTTCCCTGATTACAAGTGATGTTGAACATTTTTTCATATGCCTGTTGGCCATTTGCATTTCCTCTTCAGAGAAGTTTGTTATATTATATCCTTTAAAGGCATAGCACACCTTGGAGATTCCATGAGTTCAGTTCCAGACTACAGTAAAGCAAATATCACAATAAAGTAAGTCACACGTCTTTTTTTCCCCAGTGCACATAGAAGATACCTTTACACTATTCTGTAGTCTTTTAAGGTGCAGTAGCAGTATGTCTGAAAAAGCGATGGTCATACCTTAAAATACTTTCTTACTAAAAACTGCTACTCACTATCTGAGCCTTCAGCAACTTGAAATCTTTTTGGGTAGGTCTTGCCATAGTGTTGATGGCTGCTGATTGATTGGGGTGGTGGTTGCTGAGGGTTGGGGTGACTGTGGCAATTTCTTAAAACATGACAGCAATGAAGCTTGCCGCATTGATGGACTCTTCCTTTCTTGAAAGATCTCTTCGTAACATGTGATGTTGTTTGTTAGCACTTTACTACATTAGGATGTCTCTCAAAATTGAAGTCAATCCTCTCAAACCCTTCCCCTGCTTTATCAACTAAGTTTATGTAATATTGTAATCTTTATTTGTCATTTCAACAATGTTTATAACGTCTACACCAGTAGTACATCCTTTCTCAAGTAACCACATTCTTTGCTCATCCATAAAAAACAATCCCTCCATCCATTAAAGTTTTTATGGTAAATTTTCAGAAATTCAGTCACATCTTCAGGCTCCACCACTAATTCTGATTCTCTTGCTACTTCCACCACATCTGTGGTTATTTTCTCTACTGAAATCTTGAATCCCTCAAAGTCATCCATGAGGATTGGAATCAGGTTCTTCCAAAGTCCTGTTAATGTTATTTTGATCTCCGCCCATGAATCACAGATGTTCTTAATGGCATCTAAAATGGTGAATTCTTTCCAGATGATTTTCAGTTTACTTTGCCCAGATCCATCAGAGGAATCACTATCTGTGGTAGCTATAACTTTATGAAATATATTTCTTAAATGATAAGATTTGAAAGTCAAAATCACTCCCTGATCCATGGGCTGCAGGATGGATGTTGTGTTAGCATGCATGAAAATAATATTAATCTCCTCGTACATTTCTATCAAAGCTCTTGGATGACCTGGTTCATTGTCAATAAACAATAATATTTTGGAAAAAATCTTTTTTTCTGAGCAGTAGGTCTCAATTTGGGGCTTAAACTATCCAGTAAACCAAGATATAAACTGATGTGCTGTCATCCAGGCCTGTTGCATTTATAAAGCACAGGCAGAATAAATTTAGCATAATTCTTAAGGGCCCTAGGATTTTCAAAATAGTAAATGAGCACTGACTTCACCAGATAGATGCACTAGCCCTAACAAGACAGTCTGTCCTTTGAAACTTTGAAGCAAGATACTGACTTCTATCTGTGAAAATTCTAGATGGCATCTTTTTTAATAAAGACTTTTGTCTGCATTGAAAATCAGTTGTTTAGTGTAGCCACCTTCATTGATTATCTTAGTTTAATTTTTCTGGATAACTTACTACAGCTTCTATACCAGCACTTTCTGCTTCATCTTACACTTTGTTGTTATGGAGATGGCTTGTGTATGCATGTGTGAATATATATGTGTGTACATATATATGTTACTCATACACGTATACAGTAAACACATCAAAGATTTAATTTGACTCATGGAACCAGTAAGATTCCACAGCCATTTCACGAGACGACTAAGACTGCCACACGTTTACAGTAAGATAAGCAATGCTAAAATGACTTTATGAATGGATGCAAAACTGGTCACTATCCACTGGGTGATAATTAATTGCATTTTACTAACTATAATTTGTGTTTTGTGGACAGAAATTATTTGTATTACTATTAGTTTTCTACACACTATCTTCTTTTACAGAATTCTGAATTAGAGGGAGATAGCCTGATGGATAATATAGCTAGGACACAGTTTTTCCACTGCTGTGTGTATGTGCATGTATATGAATAACTTTTTTTCTGAAGCTTTGAAAGTAAGATGGAAACATCATGATACTCCAAAGTAATAAAGAATGCATCTGCTAAGACTGACATTCTTTTACATAAGAACTATGATATCACAATTAAGAAAATAAAAGATAATTCTATAATATCCAATATCCAGTTTTAATTCCCCCACTTGTCCCAACATTATGTATGCATAAACACATATGTATATGTGTGTGTGTGTGTGTGTGTGTATGTCCATCCAACCAAAGTTCCTTTATTTCAGACTGTTTCAAAATTTTTGAAGAGCTAATCCCTTGGGACTGAGTATACTGGTGACTAATCCTGTTGATCTTTCTTTCTTTTCAGGTAGTAATGTTTCTGAAACAGATCAGATACTTAAGGCTGTCATCAGCCTCCCAAGAGAGCTGTATCACTTTCATTAACATGGTTATGAACTGTGTGCCCTGTACCCTAGGGAAATGAACCTATGGGTCCTTTGCTATTTATGCAAAAGAAAATTATCTGTTGTTATGGAGCTGTTAATCAGTGTTTGTATTGTACCCAGTTGGTAACTGTCTTCCCTGTGGGGGTTCTCAAGCAGAAAGGAGGGCTAGACCAGAATAGAATAGTCTGTTCCTTTGGGATGGAAAGGAAGCAAGGAAATTCAAGATAAAATGAGAGCAGGGAAAGTGGAACCTGTTTTTGTATCCCTGTATTGAAGCAGATTTGTGTTTTTGAATTCTGACTTGAGAACTATATAGTGTTCAGAGTTCTTTATGACTTAGGTAACTGTTTTTAAATAGTTACTTCAGTTTTCTCTTATTTGAGGTAAAGATTTTCATCATTTTTTAGAAAGGAATTTAATTATAGATCTTAGTTATAGATATGATGCAATTGTTGTGACTCCTTCCCTTAATTGTTCCGAAGGCTAAATTTCTAGATCTCCTAATGTACTCGATGTCCCTAGATCACCCCTAGGTATTATGAGGATCCAGAGAACTCAGCATATTGTCATACTCATGGTTATGATTTATGACAGCAAAAGACATCAAAGCACAATCAGCAAAGGGAAAAAAGGCTCCCGGGGTAAAGTCTGGAGGAAACCAGCACAAACTTCCAAAAGTCCTCTCGCAGTGGAGTCACACAGGATATGCTTAATTCCTCCAGCACTGAACTGTAACAAACAACACATGCAAAGTGTTGTCTACCAAGGAAGCTCCTTAGAGACGTGGTGCTCATGGTATTTATTGGGGCAGGTCATAGAGGCAACTTCTGTCTAGCACTTCCCAAAATTCCAGGCTCCCAGAAGGAAAGTAGCTGTTAAGCATAAACCAATTATTTTTGTAGGTTAGACACAGTAAGTTACTCTGTCAGTTCTGGGAATGGTAGAACCCTCCAGAAATCCAGATACCCAGATGCCAAACCAAGGGTTAACCATTCAAACAGGGCTTTTTAAGGGTAGCAACCTTGAGTCTACTGTATTAACGCTTTTCTACAACTAGTTTTTCTCCCTTTCCTAATACTCTGTATATTAAAACATCCAAAGACTGCTTGTGTCTTCTCTGTGATGGATAGACCTCCCCAGGAAAAATGTGTCACTTTGGCCTGTATATTAGTGGTAGTGGAGCCTCCCTGGTGGTGCAAGGGGTTAAATCTCAGCACTATGAAGCTGTAAGCAGCCACTACAGTACGAGTTCAATCCCTGGCCAGGGAGCTGACCTCTCCTGTCTTGCGTGCTGCTCCCCTCAGCAGTGTATTTCAATCAATCTACCTGTTCTGCTCCCCACCTTGTCTCTGGTGAATCCTCTCACTGCCCCCCTGCCCACCTCTGACCTACACCCCAGCTCTTGTATGCATTAATAAATAAATCTTAAAAAAAAAAGTTATCCTCTACCTCAAGACCAGAGGTTTAAGGAAAAAAAAAGAATGAAAGTAGGGGTACTAGCCAGAATTAGGGAATTTACCAGAAATAACCTTTCTATCAGAGAAGACTTTCTGTATGGCAGGACAAGCATCTAATTATAGAGCATCTGGTCTTTGTTATATGAGTCACACTCTCCTTATCATGTGAGTTATTTTTATGCATAACTATGCAAATTTATGCATAAATCTTACCTCTCCTTGAAGCCCAAGGCCCTTTCCCATACCTTAGCTCAGACACATACCCCCATTTTCCCTCATTGATCTTGGAATCTATGTGTATGTGAATTCCCCATATGTACGTAATTAAGTTTGTTATTTTTTCTCCGACTAGTCTGTCTGATGTTAATATTATTATTTAGCCAGCCCAAGAAGAGCCCAGAGTGATAAGGGAAATTTCCTTTCCTCCCCAATACCAATAACAAATTTACTAAGATTTTTTTTTTAATAACGCCGGAGGCTGTGTGGGAAGAAGGGGAAGCAAAAAAGAATGTATGTTTAGGGGATTACTTTGATTTTCTCTCCCTGGATGAGTACTTAATTTTTATACTAAGCCATTACTGTTTGTCAACAAAAATGCAAGCTCATTGCTAAGTATTGCTTTTTAAGTTGTGCTCTAAAAACCATAAATGTTCTCAGAGGTGATCCTAAAGACATCCCACAGAATGTGAATGAATTTTTGTAAAGCATGTCTCTAATAGGAATTTGTATCTGGGATATATAAGGAACTATTATAATTCACTAATTAAAAAAAAACTAATTTTAGAGTATGAAGTACCTTCTCCAAAGAAGATATACAGATGGCCAATAAGCCCATAAAACATGTTCAGTATCATTAACTGTCAAGTAAATGAAATAAAAGCTACTGCAAGATAACTGCTTCATATCCACTAGAATAGCTATGAGGAAAAATGCAAGTAATAGTATGTATTGCTGAGGATGTGAAGAAATTGGAACCCTTCTGTATAGATGATAGGAATGTAAAATGGTGCAGTTACTTTGGAAAACCATCTGGCAATTCCTCAAAATTTAAACAGAGGATAGCATATGATCAAACAATTCTACTTCTAGGTATCTTACTTAAGAGAAATGAAAACATATATCCATCCCAAAACATATATGTTCATACTGCATTATTCATAATGCCCAAAAACTGGGAAACAAGCAAATACTGTAAGTTGATGAATGGACAAACAATGTGGTATAGTCATATAATGGAATATTACTTGGCAATAAAAAATAAATTACTGATACATGTTACCACATGAATAAAGCTTGAAACCATGCCAAGTCAAAGAAGGCAGTAATTCCATTTATGTCAACTATCTAGAATAGGCAAGTTTATAGAATTATAGAAAGTAGATTAGTTGTTGACAGGGCTTCAGGAGGATAAGGATTGGAGGTGTCTGTTAAGAGTTGCTGGGTTTCTATTGGTCGTAGTGAAAATATTTTAAAATTGATTGTGCTGATGGATTCCTGACTCTGTGAAAATACTAAAAGCCATTGACTCATACACTTTATTACTTTTTGAATTGTACACTTTAAATGGGTGAATCGAATAGTTTATGAATTATACCTCAAAAAAACTATTAGAAAAATACACTAGTTTTTAAGAGAAAATAAAGTGAATTATTTGTATATTATTCTGAGCAGCTGACCTATAATACTCAGATATTTATTAGAATTCTTAAGTTATATTTTCAGTCATGAGTTAATTATTAACTGCCTGAGAACATCACATATTCATTCTGAAGAATGACCCTATGTTGGAAATATTTTAAGCATTTTCTGCTTTGTAAGATGACACACCTGTATGTTTCTGTCATGCATCTTAGTTTAGAACTTAATTTCCATTTTCCTCATCTGCTTCTCGTGTCACCCAAGTGGGTGCTGAGGATGAGGCTTCTTGAAGGAGTTCTTGGCTGGAAGCAAGACACCCTTCTTCCTAAGTGTCTAGGTGTCAGGATGCTAAGAAGGTGGGCTCATCTATTAGTATCTGAATATTATTCAGTCATATGGTTTTGAATCTGCTTGTATTTGGGCAAAGGAAATGTGTTTTCCTCCCGCTAGGTTTTGCTTCATTCAGAATTCATCAATTCACTTAGCTATAACAGCATACTATAGGCAATCTTTATTCAGTGATCATGCTGACAGATGTTTCTTATATACTTTTCTATCCCTTTCTGCTTACAGCCAAGGAAGGAATGTCTGAGAAATGCAGTCTGTGTTCCATTTAGGCTGCTGCTTTATATTAGTCTCATGTGAATGTCTAGAATGGAAAAAGAATTATGAAGAATCTGGGACAACTTTCTTAGTCCTCTTGAGTCAGGTTCTCACAATGACTTCGATCTCTTTTTTCAAGTATTGTAAACTCTTAGCCAGATCATCCCTCAAACTCACGTTCAAAGACAAATACAAAAGCATATCCTAAAACCAAATATAAATGAATTTTAGATTTGCTGCCATTTAAGATGATTCACATCACCACTTCTCCATCATCACAAATAATTCTTGCGAACTTGTCAAAGGGGACTAGAAGTTCTAACTCTGTGGGTGTTTCAGAAATAAATAATACATTTTTGAAATTTTCCAGTAGGGATATTATTATGTATCTTGAAATCTCAAGTAGGATATGCCTCACATAGAGAGCAGGATGCTAATGAAGGTTGAAGCCTGTATCCTATTAACAACCTCCCTCCCGTGTTGCCATGCCCTTTCCTTACAGAAGCTGTACCGTGTAGCCACATTTCTGGTGTGGTCTTCTGAGGAGACAGGTGATCTGGTTTCTTTTACAGCCTGGCTTTCTGAGATCCTTTGTTTTATGGTACTGTGAAGTTTTGTGTGTGACCAGATGTTCTAATAAATCCCTTAGGAGATTTTAATAGAGTTCAATCTGTATTTAAACTGTTCAATCTGGGGCTTCCCTGGTGGCGCAAGAGGTTAAGCACCGCACTATGAAGCTATGCGCAGACTCTGCAGCACAGGTTGGATCCCCGGCTGGCCAGGGAGCAGCCCACATGGCGCAGCAGACCTCTCCTGACTCGCCCGCTGCTCCCCTCAGCAGTGTACTTCGATCAATCTGCCTGTTCTGTTCCCCACTCTGTCTCTGGTGAATCCTCTCACCCCCGCATCTCTGGCCTGCACCCCAACTCTTGTACGCATAAATAAATCTTAAAAAAACCACACACAAAACTGTTCAATCTGACAATAAGAAGTATGACCCTTGGCAGGAATTAATTGTGCACTTGAGAATTGACCAGTTAATGAACACCTGAAAACCTACATAGAGTATGCAGGCATAAATCTTTCAAGGAAAATGTATGTCTTTGCTCCTTAAGTAACCGGTGCAAGGGAGCCAAACTCCAACACTACCATCAGTTTGGATGTTAGGGATTTGTTTACTGGAGAAGTTGATTGTGATGCCAGCCTGGGTCAGGACATCCCTTCCTGTCTGTCTCCTTGTCCTCAGCCTGTCATCCTGTAAAGCCCCTGAATGCAGTCTCATAATACCATGAAGTATAAACCACACCAAACAATTCTAGCTAATAGGCATTTGTAGAAGAAATTGTTGATACAAAGGTCTCATCTGTGTTTGTTTTCTCTCTCCTGTTTCTTGCCTCCTTACCAGGCAAAAGTAGAAGAAAAGATCCAAGAGGTCTTCAGTACTTACAAGTTCAACCACCTTGTACCAAGGTAAGCTGTGATTAGGAGTTTGAGGGGGTCTGGAGATACCTCCTCCTGTTGGAGCCTTTCTTATTCATCCTGGAACTTATGTAACCAAAAGGGAAAAATCTGCTGGGAGACTGGTGTTTCATGACCTTGTGGTTTCCTGGATATGCTTGTAACCCTAACTCCCTCCTTCATAGTATTAGAATACTATTTGAAGGAGCTGCTCCACCTGCATGGAGACATCACATGGTACATGGGATACCCTTTGAGGCTGGAGCTCTGAGGCCTGAGGACGAGAGGAAGTTCAGGTTTTAGCTGCACAGTTGTGACCTGCTGCTCAGATCATTTGACTCTCAAATCCTTCTTTTTCATATTACGCTTTGAAACAGATGTAAAGTCCAGCGGGGTGGTGAAGGATGGATTCCTTTGATGTGTATTATGACCTGACTGGGAAAATCTGAGTTTCTCCCAGCCTGGCCCTTTTTGGTAATTGTGGGGCAGATCTCAAGGATGAAATTTCACATGAAATACTTGCCTTTTGTTTTTCTTGGTGCTAAGCAAATCGAAGTCTTCTCAGTTCTTTGATGTCAGAAATTCCAATAGGAGATTCTAAGCAGAAACTTGGTTAATTTTAATCTTTAGTTTCTCTTTTCCCTCATAGTTTTATAATGTATCACATTAGATTTTCATAATGTTATTTCATTCTTTGGTTATCATTTCTCTTCTAGTCACGAGTTGTTTCTCTGAAACCATCAAAATTTCCCAGCCATCAGAGCTGACTAGTAGCCCAGCATTATGTGTGCCATCATTTTATCTTAATTATACAGCCATTTCCCTTGACAATCTCTGGACAAAGTGTAGGCTCCTGGCTGATTCACTATGGATGAGGAGCCGAAGGGTCTGAAGTCCAGCCAACCCATTTATCATGTCTCCAGCTTCCAGAGACCTAAAAGACTAGCTCCTGGCAAGTCAGCCTCATGGTACTTCTACTTACTGGAACATTACAAATGGTCCTGGCCTGAATTAGCTTTGTGTCTTTTTTTTTTTTTTTTTTAACCACCACTCTATTTTTCCACTATTTCCTTGCAAAAAAAAAAAAAAAATGCTTTTAGAAACTTCTGCTTAGCCAAGGTAGTGAACCACTGGAAAAGGTAATTGGAAAAAGGGAAAAGACAGGGAAGGGAAAGTTATTTTCATCTGTCTTCCCTGAGGAAGGAAAATGTAGATGAACTAGAGGATCCTTTCCCCAAATTTCTAAACTAAATCTCTGAAACATCCCAAAGCTCAGCCTCAATAAATGCATGATTGGTCTTGTCATGAGCCACAGCTGGAGACTAGCAGATGACGTCACTTGTTAAAAAGCTCAGGGAGAATGAAATCTCTGCCTATTATGGGCTAAACTTCCCCAGAGGTGGCAGGGCTTGGTGATGGTGAGGGATGAGATTGCTTCAGGAGGGGCTTTGTGGAGAGCAGGGGCTTTTCCCCCCTACCCCACCGTGACTAACCGGAGTCACTGTCTGTGGCTGTGTACATGTCCTGTTCTTCCAAAGGGCCCTTTGATCATTGGCCACTCTTTTTCACTCACCATCCAAACCAAGCTCTCGAGCTTTTATTCTTACTGAGATGTGAGGGAGAACAGGAGGATATAATCTGGGAGAAGAAGCTCTTGTGTTTGGGGCTGCTAGTGGAGTACAATAAAAGAGTAAAATTCCCTGATTCATAAGTCTTAGATCAGGTGCGGGAGGGAAACAAAAATGTTCCTCTTGGGTTTGGAGCCTTGTGGAAATAGAATATATGAGGGTTCTGAGTTTAATTTCAAGGATCTGACATTTCCATTTTATCATTGTTACCAATGAAAATGAGGGCGTTAAAGGATGCTAATTATCATATGTTGCAACATGCTAATTAATATTAGTGAGATCACACATTTGGCTGGATGACTGAGTCTGTAAATCAACATAGCAATAAAAGGCAGAGGCCAAACTTCCCTATTATAGGATGAGCTTCCAGGATATAAGTATCCTGGAAGAACTAACCTGAAAGTTTATCAGAATTTAAAATTATGAGAGTTTGAATATTAGATATTTTGATAGTCAAATTTTAAAAGCCTGACCTAATGGTGCAGGAATAGATCTTCATTGTTTGCTAAAGTGAATATCCAGGTAATAAATCAGGATGAAATGGCTTGTTTTCTGAGATCCTGATGTTGATCAGGTGTGATGGACTCACACACACTCCTAGGACCACTGGCCATGCATAGGTCCCAAGATGCCAGCAATGATGCTGAGAGAGGCGTTTGCCTGTTCAGCCTTTTAGGGCCACAGCCAGATAGATTTAGCTGAAATTCAAGGCTAAAACGGAATGTAGGTCCATTCTGCCATTATTCCCCGTTCCAGAAATGATTTTTCACTCTCTAAGACTGTGAAATGTATGTCCTGTCCTGGAGCGAGGTAATCTGTCCCAAAGAGATTTTTGACTTTTTTTTTTAAAAAAAATTTGTTATCATCAGTGTTACCAATATTATATTAGCTAGTGTGTCTAGAAAATACAGATATGACATAAAAATATGCATAAAAATAGTTCTTGTGCATAAAAATAGTTCAGTGATTCCCTTAAAATTTTTTTGCCTTTATTTTTTGGGTAATAGCTTTAATGAGATATAATTCATTATCATATTATTCACCCACAAAACAGACAGGTCAATGGCTTTTAGTGTATTCATGGAGTTGTGCAACCATCACCACGTATAATTTTAGAACTCATCATCCCCAAAGGAAATCCTGTACCCTTCAGCCATCACCCGCCAATTCCCTGGCAAACACTTAATCCAAGTTCTGTCTCCATGGATTTGCCTGTTCTGATATAAATGGAATCACACATATGGTCCTTTGTGACTGGCTTCTTTCACTTAGCATAGTGTTTTCAAGGCTCATCTCTGTTGTAACACAGTGACTCCCTTTGCTTTTTGGTTTAAAATCAAACTCCCCATGCATTTACAAATCCTGCACAATCTGACATGTCTGTACTTCTCCACCATGGCTTAACACTGCTCACTGCCCTGTGTTTTTGCTCTGGCCGCACTATACTTGCTTGAATGTGCCATGGCGTTCCCTTGCATGAAATACCCACCCCATCTTCTTCATGTTGCCTGGCTGACTTACGTTTTTCAGGTCTTAGCCACCATGCTGTGTCCTTTAGGAAGCTTGTTCTGATCCTTCATGTCTTCCCTGATCATGGTACCTGTCAGACAAGAATGTAATTGCCTTTGACTTATCTGTGTCCACCTCTGATCATAGTGTAGGGTATGAAGATAATCAGGCTTTTATGCCATTGGCCTCTGTGGCTATCACCTGCAGCCTTGATATTGTTAACATAGAAGGCACACGGGTGTGGGGCACACGTGCCTGATTATGGACACCTGAGCATGGGGGTGTGCGTATATGTGCAAGTATGCACACATGTGCCTAGGAGGGAAGGCATAAAATGGCAGCATCACCCTGGGGAGGGGGGATCAAGTTGCTGTTTCCCTGCTGGCTTGTTTCCCCTGCTTACCATTAAACCTTGTGAAAATGATGCCAAGGGCTCGAAAATTCTCTTTTAATTTGCTACAACTGATGATGATGAACCTACCTGGCCTGGGAAGGTTGCTAAGCATCTGGAGAGCAGAGACAGCATCTATCTCAGTACTGGACACTCAACCTGTACAGAAAGGGTGCTCATTTATTCCTGACTCGGAAACCCCTTGAGAAATCAAGTCTGGCTTTCTCCTCTTCTTTGCAATCTGGAATCTCCCCTCCCCACTCCCTCAATTCTCTTGAATGTCGTCAGCCACTTTGTTGCTTGTCCTCTCTCCCTCAATCTTCAGCCTTTGCCACTATTAAGTACCTCTGTGAAATTCTCTCCTGTATTGCCGGTGACACCACACTACCTTTTTTTTTTTTTTTATAGAGGCATGTTTTTATTTATTTATTTGTTTGTTTGTTTGTTTATACAAGCACTGGGTACAGTCAGAAGCGCGGGAGGGTGAGAGAATTCACCAGAGCCAGAGCAGGGAGCAGAGCAGGCAGAAGGACCGAAGTACACTGCTGAGGGGAGCAGCGGGCGGCAGGAGAGGTCTGAGCGCCATGTGGGACCCTCCTCCGGTGGCCGGGGAGCAGCTGGGGATCGAACCTGCGCCGCAGAGGCCGCGGGCAGCTTCGCAACCCAGCGCTCAACCGCTGCGCCACCGGGGAGGCCCGACACCACACTACCTTTGTCCTTCTGCTTAGGTAACAATATTTTTCTCCTCTGGTTCCTTGTCCTCCTCCAAGGTTTGTTTTTTTGTGGGACCCTCGCCTGTGGCGGGGGAATGAACCGGCGCTGCGGAGGCTGCGGGCAGCCTCGCAGCCCAGCGCTCAACCGCTGCGCCACCAGGGGAGGCCCTCCTCCTCCAAGCTTTTAAAGATGGTCCTATGCACCCAGTTCTGCATTCAGACTTTTCTCTCTGCTCTCTCCTGTCACTTGTACACTGATGAATTCTTCCTTGGCTGTCTGGATCACCTGGATCCCTCTCCTGAGTCTCACACGTGTTTCCAGGTGTGCTTGATATGCACTTCCTGTGAAGTCAGAAGATCCTGAGTCACCAAGCTATATAGTTTGAGCCCTAAAAACTCTAAGTACTTCCCATCTGGTTGCCTTTTAGCATCCTACCAGTCTTCCTACCTCATCTCTCTCCAACTTAGTGCTTTCACTTTGTCCGGTGTGTAAATACATATCAAATACCTACTGCTGTCAGATCATTTTCTTTTCCCTCCACCAAACCACTGGGGCCCATACCCCATCTGCTTCCTACCCTATACCCTTTCCCCTATTCCCTCTGGTAACCACACCTTTTTTTTTGGTCAAATTTTTATTTCTTCCATTGTTTGGGTGTGATTTTTTTTTTTGTATTTATATTCTGAAGATAAGTGAGACTATCCAAAATATGCCTTTTATTTTTTGACTGATCTCACTCAGCATAATCACCTCAAGATCCATCCATTTTGGCCCAAATGCCACTGTTCATCTTTCTTCACAGCTGTGTAATAGTCCATTAAATATATGCACCACAGTTTCTCTCTCCATTCATACGTTGAAGGGTACTTATGTTGGTTCCATGATTTGGCAATTATGAACAGTGTGGCTAAATACATACGTGTGCATTCTTTTCATATTAGATTTTTCATGTTACTTGAATAAATACCTAATGGTGGTATTGCTGGCTCAAATGGGATTTCTATTTTTATTTTCTTGAGAAATCTCCATACTGTTTTCCACAGGGCTGTACCAGTTTGTATTTCCACCAATGGTGGATAAAATTCCTTTTCCACTGCAACCTTGCCAACACTTATTAATTCCATTCTTTTTTGTATGGACTATATCTCTATGTGGTTTTAATTTGCATTTCTCTCATATTAAATGATAGTGAACATTTTTTTCATGTCTGTAAGGCCATCTAAAGAATGTTTTCTTTTTTTATTTATTTTTTATGATTTTTTTTTATATTCCCCATACAATTGCTCCCCCCTTATTTTGACCCCAGCCCCTTCTTTCCCCCGCCCCAGCATAGTGTGTCTCTGGATTATAGTTGCTTGCTGATTTTGATTTTTTCTTTCTTATAGTTATTCTTTTCCTGGTCCCTTATTTAGGTTTTTTAGATTCCTGCTATCAGTGAGACCATCCAGTATTTTTCTTTTTCTTTCTGGCTTATTTTGCTGAGTATGATCCCTTCCAGCTCCATCCATGTTGCTGCAAATTGCATGAGTTTATCTTTTTGATTGCTGAGTAATATTCCATCGTGTATATATACCACATCTTCTTGATCCAGTCATTTATTTTTGGGCATTTGGGTTGTTTCCAAAGCTTAGCTATGGTAAATAGTGCTACTATAAACATAGGGGTGCAGGTGTCCTTTTGAATTAATGTTTCTGTGTCATTTGGGCTAAAGAATGTTTTCTTTAGGAAGTGTCCATTGAGGTCCTTTGCCTCTTTTTTAATTTGGTTGTTTCTTTCTTGGATTGTGTAAGTACTTTAAATTTTGGAGTTAACCCCTTGTCAAATATATGGTATACAAATGTTTTTCTCCATTCTGTAGGTTGCCTATTTGTTTTTGTGATTTCTTTTGAAATACAAAAACTTCTAAGTTTGATATAGTCCCATTTGTTTGCTTTTCCTTTTTCCCCCCATTTGCTATTGGGGTTGTAGTTCCAAATACATCTGGTATATTTTCTTTAAGTACTTTATAATTTCAGTTCTTCTGTCAAAATCTTTAATCCATTTTGAGTTAATTTTCACTATGGTGTTAAATTTTGGTCTTGTTTTATTTTTTTTGCATGTATCTATCCATGTTTCTCAGCACCATTTATTAAAAAGGCGATCTTTTCTCTCGCATATGCCATAATTTCTTTTATTGAAAATTAGCTATTGATATTTATATGTATTTATTTCTGGGCTTTCAATTCTGTTCCATTGATCTGTGTAATGGCAGGAACAGACACGGTGCAGGTTTTCTGATCCCATGCAGATCGGGTAAAGGAGGAGTCAGAGTCCTCAGTAGTTTTGCAGGTTTTTTATTTGGGGTTCACCAGGCATATGGCAGGCAGGGGTGCTGGCTGGGGGGCTGGGAGGCTGGCAGGCCTCCCAGCCCCCAGCAAGTCTTCACTCTATCTGGGCTCTCTGGCGTTCTCTGCTTCTGCTTCGGCTTCTCCTTCAGGTTCTGCTGCTGCTGGCTGGGGCTGCTCGCGTCCCCCCCGTGACGCTGCCCTTAAAAGCACAGTCTTAGCTCAGCTGAATCCCATCTACCTATGCCCACACCCTACTCCAGGTGCCCGCCATCAGGCATGCATTCAGGACAAGGATCCATCATCTATCCTGATGGCGGAAGGGCAGAAAAGCCTGATATTTTCTTTACCCTACAGTCCACCCCCTCAGGGTTTTCTGCCACACAGTCTATACATACATATACAATTTTCTAAGCAAACAAACAATGCAGCCATGGCCCACAAAAGCAAATACATCAAATAACAAAATACAACATAACAAAATACAACAGAACACAAATAAGTCCAGGCAGGGCACCAACCAAGTGCAAAAGACAATTATTGGTACCAGCAGATGAGCCACCAAATCTGCTGCCGAAGGCACTGCTCATATGAGGGAGGGGAATCACTCACGGCATCTACTATATCACACCAGGAGCAGTCAGGCTTCCTCGCCTTCTCTGGCTGTAGTCTCGGCTACAAGGCACACACCGCATCCACCCCCAGGATGCACTAGCTCTGGGATTGGCAATTTTATTCTGTTGGGGGTAATCGCCAACCCTCAGGGTTTCTGTCTGCAGTCGCTCCAACACTCGGCCTTCACGGCCACCCATGCGACTCGCAGACCCCTGCACTCAGGCCAACCCACTGCACAAGCACATGGGTCGGGGATCCAAACTCTACATTCGGCCTCTTTTGGGTCCCCTCTTCGGCTTGGCCTCCACCCCAAGCCACGTTCCCCACCCGTCCCCCAAGGACAGGTTCCTCAGCTCCTCACCCTCACTCAAGAATGAGCAGGGCATCACCCACAGGTGATTTTACGAGACTCACAGTTCTTCAGCATACCCAGGCTGCTTAACAGCCGCTCAGGGCTTCTCAACTTATCATCAGTACCAGCTTTTGCTTTCTCAGTTGGCTTTTCTCCTCCACCTGGCCACTGGGCATACACAGGCTGCTTTTGGCCATCTAGGCCCACTGGCCACCCCCAGATTCTCAAAAAATAAACATAACCTGCTAAGGTCCTCCGCCTTCTGGCGGGATTGTCAGTCCAAAATCATCAGTTCATCAGTCTATCAGTCCATTGGCCTCTCCCTGCTTCAGCAATGGCCTGCTGCCTCAGGGGTCATTGGCTGGTCCTTTCCGGTGTCGTTGGCTGGTCCTATCCGGTGTCGTTGGCTGGTCCTTTCCGGTGTCGTTGGCTGGTCCTTTCGGGCGTCTCCTTCACGCCAGGTCTCATCCTGTAGCTCGTGGACGTATCCATCTTCTATACCGCCATGGTGCCTCCAGCGTCGTCACAGGCAAAGTCTGTTCTCCTTAGTCCCTCCAGGTCTTCGGAGGGCTCCAATACCCGTCTGCATGGATCTTGCCGACATACGCCAATTGTAATGGCAGGAACAGACACGGTGCAGGTTTTCTGATCCCATGCAGATCGGGTAAAGGAGGAGTCAGAGTCCTCAGTAGTTTTGCAGGTTTTTTATTTGGGGTTCACCAGGCATATGGCAGGCAGGGGTGCTGGCTGGGGGGCTGGGAGGCTGGCAGGCCTCCCAGCCCCCAGCAAGTCTTCACTCTATCTGGGCTCTCTGGCGTTCTCTGCTTCTGCTTCGGCTTCTCCTTCAGGTTCTGCTGCTGCTGGCTGGGGCTGCTCGCGTCCCCCCCGTGACGCTGCCCTTAAAAGCACAGTCTTAGCTCAGCTGAATCCCATCTACCTATGCCCACACCCTACTCCAGGTGCCCGCCATCAGGCATGCATTCAGGACAAGGATCCATCATCTATCCTGATGGCGGAAGGGCAGAAAAGCCTGATATTTTCTTTACCCTACAATCTGAGTTTCTGTTTTTGTTCCACTACCATACTGTTTGGATATTTTTTCTAAGGCAACGTCCTGGCTATTTTTGCTCAACTCAAAACCTCCAGGACTTCCCTTTGCCTATTAAATTTAGTTCAGTTCTCCAGCTGCCATCCCAGGTCCCTATAAAAAGGGCCTCAGCTGCCTTTTCCTCTTTCAACCCTAAAATATCAGGCCAAACCCTTCTCCTCACTCCTCTTGCATAGTTCATACCTGTGCTGCAAATATGGTAGCCTCTAGCCACCTGCAACAGTTTACATGTAAATTAATTCAAATGAAATAAAATACAAACTTCAGTGTGTAGCTCCACCAGCACATTGGAAGTGCTCAGTAGCCACCCATGGCTAATGGCCCCTGATGGTTAGCACAGAAAAAGGGCATTTCCATCATTGCTGGCGTTCTCTGGACTCACCTCAGCTTTGTGTTTCCATTCCATTCCTTCCCTCCTCACTGCTTCTACCTATAAAGATTTTCTCCCTCTACCCAGGTTGCCCAACCCAGATTTCACCAATTCACACAAACTTTTTAAATGAGATTCCTCCCTCCCATTAGGGGCTCAGTCATACCTTATGCTTTTCCTTTATAAAGTCCGCTCATTTTCCCTTGTATTGTAGCCATTTATTTCCAGCTCTGAATTGGAGGACTTTCTAAGGTTAAGACCACACCACACTCCTGATCTTATTTCTGTGCACAGTGCAGAGTGAGTTCAATAAGCAACTGTTGAATATCTAGAAAGAGAATGCTTCTACTTTCCCTTTATTTCTGTAATCACAAGCACAGTGCCTGCTTTAACATTCTGTTCTTTCCCCTTTCTTCTGAATTCACACAGGCCTCTGTGTCCTTCACCTGCCTGTGCAGGTGGCCGTGGACGGCGCATTCCATCTCAGTACCAGTGCTGCTGACACAAGTGCCAGGGAGACCACTGTCTGCAGAATGCAAACATGGTCCTCCAGCTGAGGCTTGGGTCAGCATGTGGGTGGTGGAATTTCGGGGAGGGAATAATGGAAGGATGATCGAGGGGCAGGCAGGGTACAAACTACAGCCCGCAGAGGAGTGACCCCGGAAGAGATGCCTGGAATGGTAGCAATGAATCAAGTCAGAGAAGAGGTGAGGCTTAGATTTCAGCTACTTCCAGGATGACGAGCCAAAGATACCTGTTCTCAGTTAGCTTTTGGAGAAAGTTTCTGGGTGGCTTGTCACTGCTTGGTTGTGTGTATTCGTTGTGGCTTTTCACTTAGCCCAAAGTCACCTGTCCAGAGAGGATCTCAAAACATTTGCCAGCATGGCATTTAGATAACTTCATGGACATTCAGTTGCTGGCCTCTTTGCTCTGGCCTGGGGAAAGTTCTGAAACTGAGCGTGAGTGTGTGCATATTGCAAGTGTGTCCCCCCATTTTCTGGAGTGGGTGGAAACATAAGCTATTAAAATAGGTTTACAAACTCTTTGTCTTTCTAGGCTTATTTTGCAGAGGGAGAAGCACTTCCATTATCTGAAAAGAGGCCTTCGACAGCTGACAGATGCCTATGAGGTAAACACACTGGCCAGGAACTCTTTCTATCAGATTATCAGCCAGCTCTTTCTCCTCTTTTCTATTTGAATATAAAAGGCATAGGGGCCTGACCTGCTGCAGATTTGCTCATTGTACCAGGAGGTTCTGGCAGGAATTAGCACAGGAACCAGGGCCCACAGAGCTGGGACTCCCGCTTCCTGAAGGGCAGAACCAGAGCTCCTCTAGTCTTGTCCTCCTTTTGAGGCCGGTGGAGCCCTGTATATGGGGTGGGGCTTTCTTCTGCCATTAGATCATGACCGAGGGGGGTCACTTGTTTTTTTCCTAGATACCCCTTGACAGCTACCTAGTTTATTGCTAACTCTTTGCCATATACACTGACCTAATTTCTGTGCTGACCAAATGATTAGTGTACAAATCCCAGAGAAAACTCTGCAGTTTAACACTGTAAAAATGCCCAAACTTAGAGTGGATTTTAAGTCATGTACCTCAGAGTCATGGATTCCATTGAGGGGTTTTGGGGGAGGGCACTGGTGGTGGTGGGATGTTGGGAATGGAGCTGAGTGGCAGACAGTGAATGTGAATGGGGGGCTCCAGTCTTCTTGCCCCACTTTGCACAGAGTGCAAAGCTTTTAATTTGATTTTTATTTTGGGGTTCTGCATTTGATTATTTATGGTGGGAGTTGGCCGGTTCAGTGCCTCTGGACCCAAGCAGGGAGCATAAGTAAGAGAAGTGGGCTGAGGGGAAACTGAAGTAACCCAGATGCCCCAAGCTTTTACTCTGTTCCTGCCAATTGCCATCCAGGGATGCAGACCCAAGGTTGCATCCAAGTCTCTCTCTCTGTTTTCCAAGCCAGAAATCCAGATTTCTATGTCAGTTTCCCAATACCTAAATGTTGCAACCAATTCCAACTAAGCAAACCAACTACAGGGAGCAAGCACAACTTACCCATGGGTATCTATTTGGCCCAAAGCCTGTCAGTTTTTAATCCTTGATTCGAGTCCTCCGTGGTAAGGGTCCTGTCGGCCCTGCCACTGTAGCAGGTAACAGTTCTGAGCAGTATACTAAAAGCATACCGGGAATTATCTCATTTAACTCTCACCACTACTCCATGAAGTTGGTAAGTCTTTATTTTTTATAGATAAGGAAAGGCATAGCAAGATTAAGTAACCCGCTCAAAAACATATAGCTAGTGAGAGAAGGAGTGGGACTCAAACCTAGGCAGGCCATATTCCTTCTGGTCACCATTCCATCTGCCCTCCAGCCCCCAAGGGGGTAGCTAGCCACAGCTTGGGATGGTCAGCTATTTATGAAGCAGGCAGTCTGGGCCAGTGGAAAGGGCACTAGATTGGGAGTTCAGAAACCTGGATTCTTGTCTCAACTCTGACATTTACTATATTTATAATCTGGAAAAAGTTTGTCTCTCTGGACCTCATTTATATACTTTCAACACCTGCCTGCCTGTTTCTGAGTCTTCGATAAATGGTTGTGGCTTGAATTTGGATCATGATCTGTTCACATAGCACCTTTGGAAGCCTTTCCAAGCTCCTTCAGACAGTCAATCTCTTCCACATGCTCCCTCAGGACTGTTTCTGCCTGTTACAGCGTTTATCCAGGGATATATATAATATGCATGTTTTATGTTCTGCCTAGTTCCAGAAAAACATACGATAACTTGTACTTATGTGTCTGTCTAGTGCCCTCTTCCTCCACAGATAACCACACACATTCTATATCCCAAGAATCTCAAGAAGAGGAACTGAATTTTATTCATCCTTGTGCCCCCACTAACTAATTCAGTGCTTGGCACAACTAGGTTCTTACTAAGTATTTGTTGAATCAATCAATGAGTTAATTCAGGAATCCCTTCTTGAGGTTACTTATCTCCTTGGGTCTACACTGAGAACATAGCAGCACTTAACTTCCTGGCATGTGAGAAGTCCTCTGCTCAGCCTTCCTTAGATGCCTCCTGGGAAGGACCCATTGGGTTCAAGGTAAATTTCTTTGTCCCTTTGTCCTTTCTTCACATATGCTCATTTCAGCTTCTGGCTAAGACCACAAAGCAGAGCATCCGTCATTCACTGGTTGTTTTTCATTGGGTGCCTCCCCCCGGCCAGGCTGCTGAGATTGAGACAGATGTCGCCTTGTCAGCAGTGTCTTGGAATGATTCTGAATAAGGGGTGTGTTTTCTCCCCTGTCCCCTCCACAGTGTCTGGATGCCAGCCGCCCATGGCTCTGCTACTGGATCCTGCACAGCTTGGAACTGCTAGATGAACCCATCCCCCAGATGGTGGCTACAGAGTAAGTCTGGCCTCTGGGGACCAGAGGTGTTCTCTGAAACCGTACTTTGGGTTGGGTTCTTTTTGTGGTGTTTCTGTTACTGATTTATTATTTTGAATGGAAAAACAGTGCTACAGAGAAACCCTTGCCCTTCTCATGACCCCCAGTAACTTCCTGAAACTCCTCCACTTTAGAAGCCTGTTGTAAGCTCGTGGGTAGAACAAGACTTTGAACTCCCAAGAGAAAGATTCTGGTTTCTTCTATGGCCTTTTCTTTTGGCTCTCGCTCTGGTCTTTGAGAAAAATCCTCATCATCAACTCTGAGAGACATCATTTTGCCAGAAAGTACAATATGCATTTGAATCGCTTCTGTGGGGAAGTGTTTGCCTACTCAGTGAACAAAAATGCCTTTGCCTTCCATAAACACCTCCACAGAAGTCTCTCCTCTCTAATGCTTGTGTAGCTCTTGATGGTACCAGATTTGTTAATGTCTTGGTGGCAAATGCTGTGACTCACGATTTCCTCAACCCCCTGGCTTATGATTAGAGACCCAAGCAACTAACATTCTTCCCAAAATGCTGATGAAGGTGGTATTCTCTATATGGCAGAGAATTACTCCAGTCTTTAGGATACCTGGGATAGCAGAGGGTGGCCAGGAATTGGGTGTAATGTCCCAGGTTTCACAAGGGAGAGCACCTCCCTTGAGCTCATCCAGGTGCTCCTGAGGGCGGAGAATCTGGGAAAGGAAGCCCAGCCAGGTTTCTGTTTTGTGTAGCCCAAGAGGCAACTGTGCCAGAATGCGTGGAGGCTGGCCCCTCCTTGACCATAGTGCCCCTGCCTTGGTCACATTGTCAGGTCAGAAGAACAGAACCCCACATTGTCTCATTCATTCTGTCTTAACAATAACCTCTCATTCTTGCCTTCCTGGGCAGGATGTCTTGTGATGAATGTGGATAGGGAAGATAATGAAGAATTAGGCCATTAACCCCTGTGATGTGGATGATAGTTTCTGAGGCAGAGGAAGAATGTGCATTGTCTCCCTCATCACAAGGCTGCTGCAGACCTCAATGCTTCTGGCTTTGGAAGTAGAGTTGGACACAGTTTCTGCAGTAACAGGAATCTAATTGTCAAAATAAAGGCCTATGTGTTTTTGAAATATCAGTTGGGGGTTGTGGATTGTTTAGGAAGTTCCCCCCACTTCCTCCCGACACACACATACAATCAGGATGTACGCTAAGGGACTGGGAAAGTAGGGTATGAGAGAAGAAAAAAGAAATGGGAGGATTCTGTGAGAGTGAAGTACAGATTCCGCTCCCCCTACCACCAGGGAGGACGAGGACTAACTTGAAGTGGAAAGATAGTGATAGAAGGGGGTTCCCGAAGTGGAAGAACTTGGCTCAGTATTGATTCTGAGCTTTTTGTAGGTTGTATAGTTGTGTCTTTTTCCTTTTTTAAATTTTTTTTTTTAATTTTGTAGAAGAACTGAGGTATAGGCCAGGGGTGTGGGGGGTATGAGGATTCACCAGAGACAGAGTGGGGAACAGAACAGGCAGATCTACTGAAATACACTGCTGAGGGGAGCAGCGGGCAAGACAGGAGAGGTCTGCTGTGCCATGTGAGTCAGCTCCCTGGCCGGGATCGAACTCGTACCACAATGCCTGATGATAGCTTGATAGTACTGAGACTTTAACCCCGGAGCCACAGCGGGGCCCACATTTTTAAAAATTTTTACAGTGATCTTACTGCTTTATAATTAAAAGAATATTTAAAAAATAAAAAGCTGATTTGTCCTAATTCCAAGAATCACTTGATAGTGAAAGAGAATTTCTTCTTCACAGTGCCTTTAAAAATTTTATCTATGCATTTTAAATAATTATTTAGACTTTTCAATAATGCATCTTGGTTTGTTGGTAGCAGGTGCAGAGAATATCCATTATGAACAGAGCCCGGTAGCTCTGACCTGTAAGGACATACCTGTAAAAACATAGACAATTTTTAATAGGGTCTAATAAAACACGGTGATTATTCTTCTAGACCACCCGATATATTGCCTTTCCATTTATTTATGCTTTGAAAATGTGGTCAGGTTGGTTTTTTTTTTTTTTTTCCCTCTTATAAATAAATATGAAGGTGACCTCTAATGCTGGAGTTTTATTTTTTTCCTTCCCTGATGCTCCAGCCCCGCTGCTAGTGTACATCACATGCAGGCACAGCACACACAGCGGTTTCTCTCTCCTGTTTTGTTCACTGTTGTGCTTCTATTTGTTTAGGAACAATATGGCAAGCTGAGTTCCCTCTAGTGGACAAAATCACTTTTGGCAGTTACTGTGTCTGCTGACCCAAGCCAACAAGACCAGTTTTTTACTGCCGGTGTCCAGACCTTTCAAGAATATAACCTTTCATAGGCAGGCATTTAGCACGTCTCTCTTAAGAGTGTAACCTCAAATTTATATAGATAGTTACCTAAAAGAAATCAGCATTTTGGAATTAACCCAACTGTACTGCTTTCCTTAATAGTTTTCACAGTGAAGGAAGCACCCTTTAATGAGAATCCCATACTTTGTTATTGAAAGCTACTTAAATGAAAAACACAGGATAAAATGAAAACAACACAGTACTGGTACAGTCAGATTTTTTACTTTTATGAAATTTTTAGGATTAAAAATTGTTTTTAACTTCAAAAATTGTCTCAAAACGTTTTAGCTTATAACGTTTATCCAATGATAACTTCAAATTTTCATATGTGGATGTTGAATTGATTCCCTTTCAAAAGGTTATTAGGAGCTTGTCCCCTGAATAACTCCTTAAATATTTTTCCTTTTAATCTTTTGGACTTTTTTTTGGTTTGTTTTTTAGAGGCTCACAACACTGTCTAGGTTTCAGGTATACAGTTTTTCATCTCAGCAACTGCATGTCTCACACCACACCCACCACCAAAGGTCCCATTACCATCCACCACCTTCCGTTGGACCCTCTCTGTCTGCCAATCCAGCCCCACCCGCTTCCCCTCTGGTAACCACCATTCTGTTGTTAGAATCTAAGGATTTTATTTGTTTACTTTGTTTCTTTATATTCCATATATATGAGTGAAATCATATAGTATTTATCTTCCTCTTTCTGACTTATTTCACTTAGCATCATCCCCTCAAGGTTCATCCATGTTTAATTTTTTTTTATGTTTAATTTTTAAATTTAAATATAATTTGTTCCTATATCGTTCTGTGAGGAAACCATATCTAGTCATTTTTCTTCTGGGCATTTTTTGGTCCAGATGCTGCAGGTTAATCTAGGTAGATGTCAGAGATGCTGCCAATTTTCTTCCACGGACAGTCCCCACAATAAAGAGTTATCCAACCCCAAATGTCCATAGTTCAAGATGGAGAAAGCCTTCTCTGAGATTACTAACTTTGACCTTGATTACACTTCAAAAATAGCAGCATCCGGAGGACTACCTGCACTTGATGAAGAAGAGTTAAATGCCATGTCACACTCTGCAGGAAGCAGCCCTTATCTATAAGAAAACCTCTCTGTCTCTCACGGGTTCATTCCTATAAGCTAGGGAGGGAGGGAGTTTTCCCTCTGTGAAGCCGAAGCTGTTTTACAGAATGAAATTGGACTTAGTACTAGAAGGATCCTGATGTCAACTCATTCATCTTGCCTTTGCTTCTACTCCTAAGCCATTCTACTCAAGGATGACTGTTATATTGCCAATGCTGTAATCTTTATAACTTCATAATTTACTCACATTTTTTGGTTTTCTGAATTGCTAGGAGTTGTGCTAATGACAGCTGGTAGCTTCATGGTCAGTTTGCCAGTTCCTTTAGGTGCAAGTTGGAAAGCCTCTGGATCAGAATGTCCTGCCATCTGTATGTGTCTGAGAGTCAAGAAAAATCCAACCCCTGTGCCCCATCACGGCCCCAGTCAGATGCAACAGGTCAGCTGAGGAAGGTTGGCATGGAGGAGTGATTTAAAGGTGTCTGGGACATTCAGATCCAAGCTCATTCCAGACTTTAGGCTGCAGGATCAGGAGTGTTGCATTCAGCATGATTCTCTCTTGGGAATAGATAACTAGGTGACTTTTTCTGTGCTGCTAGGTTTTATATCAGCTAGAACCTGATATAAAGGTTTGCTTTGTGATACAGAAAATTCTTGTATGCTAGTACAGCCAGACTTTGTTAGGACATGAGTTGACGAGCTATTTGTTTTGGGAAATAGGAGAAGAGTTGAAAGTTTGGAAAATATGTTAGCAAAAACTCCTTTTCTTATGAAAATTGATTGCTATTAAAAATATGCCACAGAACTGTCTTCCTTCTCTGTTTATCAATTTCAGTTTTAATTCTTGTTTCCTATAAGAAAATTTTAGCAGCAAGTAGAAGTTAATATGAATTGTTTTTAAACTGTGAAGATTTCAGGATTCCATTAGCAAGTCAATGGCATTTTCTGTTGTTGTCCCTACTCAGATAATGGAAGGTCTGAAATCAAAATAATCCAGTATGATGTGGAAAGCAATGATAAAGATGCCTTTGTGGAGATGAACTGTAATCTATGTGATCTCCCTGGCAGCAGTAGAGAAGAATGAAAGGGATGAAAAACCCCGGGAAAGGCCACCAGGCTTTGAGGGAGATGCGGGTTTGCAGCTCGTTCTCTTATTTGGGGGCTTTTCTTAATAGGAAGCCTGTGACCCCAGCTGAGTCTTGGGGAAACTACTTGATAACTAGCACTTCCCTGGGGTCTTTCCAGTGAGCTTCAGAGGCTCCCTGAAGAGCTTTGGGGCTCTCTTAGTTTCTCCTAAAGCAAGAATCTACCTTCCGGGCAAGCTGATGCCATACTTGAAGGCAAGTCCTCAGTAAATTTTTGCTCCGTGAGGGAAACTGGATCCTCTTGGGATTAGAGTGAATAATCCTCCAAGAATCCACAGACCAGGATGTGCTCCTGTGATCTGGGTCAGCAATCAGTTAAGCTCTCCACAATTGAGGTGGGCATGACAGAAGCCACAGCTTTTTTATTCTCCTCACCATGGAGGCCAACTCCAGTAACAGCTTGTTTCTTGTTGGTCTATGAATGAAAATCAGTAGCCTTGGGTCTCAGTGGGAGCGAGAGGACTTCTCTTTAAACATTCATGGTAGGCCTGGTAGTTAGTGTAGGAATAACAGATGAGGTAGTTAGTGTAAGAAGGACAGAGGAGCACCACCACTGTTGGAGGCAAAATTCAAAGACAGGGAGGTGCACCAGAAGCAAGAAGAGGCCGGTACCAGAGATCTGAGGTGGCACATTGAGTGGAGAGTACAAAAAGATTTGGTCAAACAGCATGAGACTTGCCCCACTTTTACCAAAGGCTGTTTGTTTCTGCTTGGCCTTATGTCCCTTGCTTCACAACCAGATGAGTGCTTAAATACAAACCTCAATAGCAGGGCATTCAAAACTGTTAACAGGGTAGACAGGAATTAACTGTATTCAATATATATTCACTAGGTGGCAGGAGAGGCTTTTTCCCTCTTCAGGGAGCCAGATTGGAGGGAGGAAGACATTGGAAAGGCATGGTCTCTGGTGGAATTTGATGTTTTGAATATATGCTCTCTGACGTTGTTTTTCCCTTTGGCTGTGTACCTAGTGTGTGTCAGTTCCTGGAGCTGTGTCAAAGTCCAGAAGGTGGCTTTGGAGGGGGCCCTGGCCAGTACCCACACCTGGCACCTACGTATGCTGCCGTCAATGCACTGTGCATCATTGGCACTGAGGAGGCATATGATGTCATTAACAGGTACAGCCAAAGCCAGTAGTGAGAGAACCCTACAGGGCTCCCCGCCTACTGACACTGCACTGACCATTGTCCCCTGTTT